AGTTTTGTTAACTGCCTTTTTGGGGACAACTTTCACGACTTGACTCCTCCATTCCTCGGCTTTTTACTTGCACTCCAGTTGTTTTCTGTTTGTCTCGTTATTTCAATAAGAGAGAGGCTAACTCAGGAATTATCTCGTTACTGTATTGCGAGATGAATCTTTCAATTATATTTTAAAATGATATCTTCAACTTGTAACATTTTCTTTAATTTTTCGATTGTCATTTTTTACGGGAATTTGTTGTAAATTTCTAACTGTGAAAAGTAAAAGTTTATATTGTTTCTGAGATTTACTGTTGGATCATTCACTGTATCATACTGACGCCTCAAAAAGGTACACTAACCGGTTTCTCCCTTGACCCAAATCTCAACGACTTGACTCGAGATAATTCGACTCGAAAACTCGATTTCTTTCGTTTATTTCTCAATACTTCAACTCCGATTCCCCTCGGATCGTGTCGTGGTTTCAAATATTAATTGATGCCTCCATCAGATAAGCGGTGGATTCAATGATTCCAGTGTTGCGGATGATGAATAATTACATGAAGAATTGTAATTTGTATTCTCAGTTCAAAACCGAAATAACTTGAATGAAGAACTGCTTGTGTATTCTTTCTCACTACATTCAGTCACGCACAAAATTTAATCAAGATCATATGCGATTGTGAATTTTGATATTTAATTTGATAAATCACGTGTTTATGGATTGTCAAATTAATAATTCTCATTTGGCCGCACTTGATTCTTGATTTTTCGCCGTCACCTTGAAGTTGTCGATTTTAATCGAAATACTCTAATCAAGAGTGATGCCAATTCAACAAGAAATATCATTGAATCTAAATTGTTAATTCGTAATGAATTAATTTATCTTCAAAAGTGCATTTAGTGATGATCGTCTGAAGATAGCTCTACAGATCATGAAGAAATATTGAGAATTTCTCTTTTTTATCACCCGGTTGCTTTAAGAATGACATGTGTAAAGTGGAAAAGATTGATTTAAGATCGGAGTTGGTTGCCGATGCAATCCATTGCAACCTCCAATGAAGAAAGCGCTTTCTTCTGCCAGTGTGAAAATAACTGTGACAGAATGGAAAGAATTCCCGGTAAATGTGTGGTTTAGGTCCACCAAAAACAAAAATCATTGAAATAATAATTTCTCTGACGAAAAATCCATTATCCTCTTAGTTCCCATTAACAAGACGAAAGAAGAGAGTGAGAAACACCAAGGAGGTAAATACATCGAAAAATAATCTTGAGGTAAACTCTGTTGTCCCTGAAATTCCTTAAACCCCCCTTCCCCCTGCTGTCGCTGTTGACACGACGAGTGAGTGATATTAAATTCAATAATTTGAATTGCTACAGAAGGGTAGCGACGGATAAATCACTCGTTGTGTTCAGTCAGCGATGGTAGATAGTCGGGTGAGGTGAATTCAGAGTTTTAGTGAAGTGTTCAGGAATATTTGATGAAATCCATCTTTCTGTGTGTCCATTGTCTATAAATGTGCCAACATGTGGTGTCTTTAGGGCCGACACACCGCCAAGTCCTCGCCGTGACCCTGGATAACGCAGAGATCGGTGTATTAAATATCATATCTCCTATACTAATTGTTTCCGGATAAAAAGGTGACCAGATCCTTAATTAGGTGACGGAACCCCATCCAATCAAATAAAAAACATCCAGAATGGTTTGGTGGACCTAAACTAGACATTTACCAAAATTTACCGAATTCTCTTCTGAAAAACTGAATCGTTCGCGCGAGTGGCGGTTTCAGGGGAGATTTTTGTCATCGCGAATAGGTGCGAGGGAGTGAAACGAGAAAAAAGAAAAAAATGAAAAAAAAAAGATGAGAAATTAAAACGGATAAGAGTAAATGCAAAAATTGGCACTACCGCATTAACAGTATGACTCTGACACGCAAGTTGTACCGCACGAGTGGTAATCACCGCTAACTCGCCTCTAACTATTCATAGCACGCGCGCAATGTCGTGGTCGACACGTTCCTACAGCATTGGTCTGTAACCCCTCTCTCATGTTGTGTTGTCCATGGCGTTTGTACACTCGCCACAACCATTCCAACCACCACCACCACTTGACCGTACCTCTTCTATCACTGTAATACAATCATTGCATTCCTGTCGCACTCTTAAAATACGAGATTACCCCACGAGGATTGTAAACTACCTGGAAAATCATGTTTATGCCAAATATATATTAATAATCATAATTATACGCAAATATATTACCGCCCATAATTTGATATATGCTCAATTCATGAATAAATATAAATATGTCAGATGTATGTTAAATATATAAAATATATTGTATGTATATGGTAGATATATGCCAGATATATAAAATATATTGCATGTATACGTAATATGCTATACGATATATGCTAAATATATCTAACCTACATGCAATATATTTGCAACAACAATGGTATGTGTCACATATATGTCCCATATAATTATTAATATATATATATCTTTCGTGAGAGCATTTTATCAGGAAATTTAGAATTTTCATGGATCATCTTTAACGCGATATCGATAGAGAATTAATTGTGAATATAATTAACTGTGAATAAATTAAATGACACGAACAAATTGACATTTATAACTCCAATTGTTTAAATTGAAAAACGGATGAAGAAAATTAGAAAAACTTCAGAACTTTTTAGGAATGACGCGGGTTTTTTTTTTATTGTAAAATCAGGATTCGAGGGACGCGTGACAAAATAATCAAAAATGAGAGGAAAAATAGAGTGAAGACTCTTCGCCGGCAAATATTTTCATTCTAATTGTGATGTTGGGGTCTCCAATTTCCAATATTTACACTCTACCTGGCATCAGTTTCTTTATATTCTCCTTGGGGAAGTCAGTGTGTAAATAGAGGGAGATAAGTTTACAAATATCAACCTGTTTGCGGATATGTTTTCAAAATATTTTACGTTATGAATGGCATAACATGAGAGCAAAATCGGTTATGAATGGAGCCTTGAAGTCATTCTTAAGTTCGCGGGACAGAATGGGATTGAAGACCATCGAAATTTAAAAAAACTCTCCTTAAAGAAAAAACTAGACATGCATTTGAAGATTCATTTACCTCGCGTTATTAATTGCTTTTGACAATTACCATTTAAAAATTAACCTGAAATTTACACGGAGTTTTTCTTAAAAAATATTTACTAATTTTAGTCTCTACTCGTTATTATTAATTTTTTTTTGTTCTTTCAAAATAATTAAATAATTTCAGAACCGTCAATTGATTATTATGCCATGAAAAATCCTCAAATTTTGAATGTTTAAATTACTCCGAATTTTTTGAATCAATAAAATAATTCAAGGGTTTTTTTGTTAAATTATTAATTAATTCATTAGTTTCTCGAATCATCACGAAATTTCTCCGGAGTTTTCTCTAAAAGCAAAAAATTCTCCGGGTAAAGATAATATTCAATCAGAACAACAATTATTTTTAACAATTAATTAAAGATCCTCGAATTTATGTACTTAATGTTATTAATTTTCTGTCACGAAATAATGACCATAAAATTTATTCGGACTTTTCCCCGATAGCGGAAAATTCTCCGTTTTCTTTCAGTTGGAAAAAATTGTAAAAATCATATTCAAGCCGAGTGGCAACATCTGTCAGCTGAATTATGCCATTTATGTGGCCGTTGAATGACGGTGTTAAATGTTAACTACAGTGTCGTTGTATAAATTGAAGGTGGCAGACAAAGTTGGCGCGTTGGTGGTTTTTAACCGGTGCCTCGCGTGCAACAAGATTGCAAACGGTCGGCAGTAAGTTTTCCGCCGACATTAAAGTTCCCTTACACCCCATGTTCAAGATTGAGCCTGCCACGAATAATTTCATATGCCCTGGTATGATTGTTAGGGAATAATATGGAAACCGGGGTAAAGCGGACATCCATTAAAAATTGTTCCATTCTAATTTCTAACTTTGCCTCCGGATGGAGCATTGTAATCTTTCGATTTTAAATATGCAATCCAATTTCATGTTTGCAAAATAAAATTCTTTAAATAATGCGTATCAATTTGTCCATTCGACATTTCACATTTTTCGGATGAGAAAAATCATTTTTCCATCAGAAATGGAGAAATTATTATTTTTCGGCTGAAATGCATTCGTGATTTGTAACAGCGGTGATATAGATCCAATGTTGGTACAATGCTGGCGCAATGTTGACTCAATGTTGGCCCAGTGTTGGTGCAATGTTGGTTCAAGGTTGACGCAATGTTGGCTCAAGATTGGTAAAAATATGATTTGATTATAAATTAAACATATCTCAAACAATATTCATTTTAATATTAAAAAAAAAACAATTCCATTAAATAAAAAAATATTTTCTCTTTGGATCTGAAAATTGCGGGATCAAGAGAATTTTTAATAGGAAAAATAACTCACGCAAGTAGTTTGTCGCTATTACATCCCAGAAATCGCGAGAGAATGCGAAGATTTCTGATCATTAATTAAAGGCAAAATTCATGAATAATAAAATAATAGTTTTCCACTGAAAAATCTTGAACTGAAAATAATTGAAAATTCACGCGACATTGTGACTTAAATTTTCTCGGAATATATTATTTTTACGTGTAATTACAGAAAATATTACGCGTTGTCGTAATGACTTTTCAGAATTACAGAACTCTCGGGTAATTTTCGATATAGGAATTCATATAATTCATGAGCTGAAAGGAGAGAGCTGCTTCTGTTGAGTGTCGATTATCCTGTGCGTTGTACACTTAAACATTAGTTCAACTCCCATAGAATACACACCCACTCTCTCAGGTGCACTTTCGTATCGAGTTACTAAGAAAATCTTTCTCTCGTTTCACTCCGAGTTGCGATAAATCCCAGTATCTTTGTATCTTGTAGTTCCTGTCTTGCTCATTTTTTTTCTGAAAGGAGGGAAGGAACAGTTTATTACATTCTATTACTGGCGAAACAGGCTTATAAGATATTACATTTTGTTGAATTACCAGTTCCAACTGTTCATTAGGTTCTCATCCCAACAGTTTTTCAAATTTCTGCCTGGAAATTTCGACGCTATCCTTCATTTGACTTCATCTCGACATTTCTATCTTATCCATATTCTCTCATTTAATTATAAACTCTTGATTACTAATAGACTCTAATTAAACGGATTGATTAGCGCCTGAAAATCAACGAGAGTTCCCGAAATTAATTAAAAACCAATAAAAATTCAGGCTTAATTAATGCTGATTAAACAATATCTTTTGAGCAATAGCGCAATAGTCGGATGAGTGTAATTGACAAAAAGTTATTATCATCGATAATTGCACAAATATTATTATCCAATCGGCGAGTCTCACTCTTCCCAGTGTATGACAGTCACAAGCTAGATTCCATCCAATTATATTCTAATTTATCATTGCAGGTGAATTTCCGCCATTGGAAAATGTCCCCATGTAATTGAAATAAAAAATGTATTGTTCGATGGATTTGTTAACTTACCCTCACTTGGAGATACGTTTTTAGAACCCGCACCCCCGAAAAATCTCTAACAATCCGGTATGACTGGAGCTGATAAGAAATCATTGTTATTAGTTAACAACTGGTTTTAACGATGAGCATAAAAATACTCGGTACTCAGAGGGCAATTTCACCCAGTGGAAACACCCCCTCGCGTGATGTAGTTTCAGAAACCACGAGAGTCACATACCAGACGTGTTTCACCCATTCCCGAAAATTCAACAGTTATACCACGAAAGGAAACTTGCATCGATCGTTAATCCACGGTCTATTGTTCGATGCTCCGAAACCTGACGGCGATAATTTGATATTCTCGCTGTTTCCCCCATCCCCGGGTATTCATCGGATGTCTTTTGTCCCGACGAGGAAACGAAAAAAAAAAAAAAAAAGAACCGTGAATTATTTTTCAGCAAAAACGAAGGGATTTCAATCAGTGTCTACTTTCGGCCGATGTTGATGGATGAAAATGCACGAGTAATTTCTCATCTCTCCTCTTTCTCTTTTATGTCATCGGCATATTAATCCTCGAGTGGTGCGTCATTGCCCTCGTAAATTTCAACATGGGAAGTAACTAAAACATCATTAAGGCCTGAATTTTATTGGCTCGCTGTGAGTTTTAATGCGAATTATATTGCAATCTCTGGTAGAAACCCGTTGCAATTCTGAAATATACGTTTAATTCGAAAATAGAAGAGGCTTCGACGAGCGCATGTACACCGGATGCGAGAGGCAATTGACGTGACATCTGTTACCTCGTGAAATTTTCCCTGACCCCAATTGTCGGATTTCAATAAATTTTAAATAAAAATGCAAATTTCTGCACGGACTAAAAAAAGTGGATAGTGATCAATATAAAAAGTACTTTTACCCAATACTCACACGTTTTTGAGGGAATGTCACATTTTTGTACTTTGCTGATGCAAGTATAATTCACCAAGTACTAAAGTACTTGTAATGAGTACCAAACTATTTGCGATAAGTACTAAAGTACTTGTAGCAAGTACCAAAGCATTTGTCACGAGTGCCAAAGTACTTGTAATAAGCCTTAAAGTACTTGTAACAAGCACTAAAATACTTGTAATAAGCACTAAAGTACTTGTAACAAGCACTAAAATACTTGTAATAAGCACTAAAATACACACAATAAGTACTAAAGTACTTGTGGCAAGCACTCAAGTACTTGTAATAAGTACTAAAATACTTGCAATGCGTTTCAAAATATACTTTCTGTCAGGATGAGCTTTGGTGCTTGGTGCATGCGCTTTAGTACTTGTCACAATTACATTGGTACTGCCAGCAAGTACCCAAGTACTTTTGTATTTGTTACGGGCACTTTACTGTAGAGCGTACAGAATTTATTCACGTTAAACATCCTGAAACTCCTAATAATCAGCAGGAAAAGTACTATTGTACTCAGCACCAAAGCGTTACTGTGTAAAAGTCAGATTTTTGTACTTCTTCAAGGTCACAATACCACTTTCAGCTAGTGCCATACATCGAGTACTCGTGTACTCGTTAGAACTACTTTAGTACTTATCAAAAGTACTAATTTGCTTGTCCCAAGCACTGGTAGTACTTGTATTGAGTACTTTTCGTGTTACTTTCAAAAGTACCAACTAAACTTGATACGAGTACAGTCACATAAAAATTCCCATTAATGACTACATAAAGTAATTACTAGTACCTAATACCGTAGTAGAAGTACTTTTTTCAGTTGTACCCAGTAGCAAAAGTACTGGAAGAAATTAATCCTTTTATGAGTGACCACTCGTGTGAACAATGAATTTTCCATTAATCAATTGTCACTTTTGTGTTGCAGGTACGTTTTTAATTGAGAGCCGGTGTCACACGTTGAATCACGCGCACTTGGTAAAGTACAAAACACTGTAATGCATGCCTAGTAATTGAGATTAATGAATAGCTAATTCTTGGGTTTCCATATCAAAGGGATGTATTGGATGGGGGAACGAGTGGGCGTATGTATTTGGAAAGTGGTATTTGAGGTTCGCATGCTATTTGCTGTTTGGAGCGTTAACTTGACCTCGTTCTTACCGCATTGCGACGTTCAAGAGAGAAACAAATGCCATATCCCCAATTTCAATCAATGAATGCGGGTATGCAGGCGGAATTGAGTCGTATTCACTGGGAATTTCTGAGGGGAGAGCCAATTATTACTCCAGCTTTGATTTGTGTCCCACTTTGTACCATTTTTTTTTCCAATACTCGTTATTCCCGCCAAAACTATACAGTACTCGGCATCTATTTTTCATCAGACCAGGCCATCTTTTTATTTAAATTGGTCTAAGTAATTAAGCAATCAAGACTGGCTTTCTTCACTTTCATGGATCAAGCGCTGAAATTGTTGAAAAATTATTTAATTATTATTACATTCAATGTCAACGTTAAACGACGCGAAAAATTTAGTATAAAAAATGAGAATTTTGGAACAAATTCAATTACGTAAATTATTATTAACCATTTTTTTACATTATTTATGTTTAAAAAATCTTAAAAATGAAGAATGAAGGAATTTTTAATAAGTGTCCGTTTTACTCTAGCATTTTCAGTAAAAAAATGGAAAATTCTTGATAAAACGAGATATCGAATTAAATTTACCTCACTCTCGGTAGATTAAAATCTTTCGGTCTCCTTAAATAAAACACTTAATGATTAAATCCCGATCAAAAAACAATAACCCACTTCCACGAAGGCATCATAATTCATGGCACGATGAGCCATTAAATTGAGATTATAAAACGAAAGTTCCATAATCGTAATAAATGAGATCGTTCAAATACTTTACGATAAATTGCTGAGGAAACGAGCCAAGGAACTGTTGAATCGATTCCGATAAAAGATGAGAGAATCGCATCATCTGTTCAAGCCCATTCAATTCCAGCGATGAAATGTCCTAAAAGAAGAAGCACGAAAAAGGAAAAGGAAAAATCTAAAAATAAAATGAATCAGATTCTCCGAGGATTTCATTTAGAGAAAGCTTTTATAGCTGAGAATACGAGGAAAAAAAAAAAATTCTCTCTGATGTGGAATTCCGGATTGATTCCCCTGCGTTTACCCCCGATCATTGAGTTTCCGCAAATCTGTCCTGTATCAAGTCTGAACGATTTCCCATTGGGATTTCTCAGAATTGCGGGAGGGGTGACGGCTAAATCGTGTTATACGGCTTAACCGAGTATTTAAGTTGAGAAAAATAAAATGGATGGAGAAATGAGGAACGAAGACCATATACTGTCGATTATGTGGGCCTCGACGACTCAGAAGCCAACCTCGGGGATTATAACAGTGAGAAGCCCTCGGCTTTATAACAACCCAACTTCACTGATACCTCGTATATTCACTCTGTTGTTACAAAAGGGTGTGAGAAACGTGTCGAGAAAATAGCAGACGCCAATTGTTAAAGTTGTGTTTCAAAAGTTTCAATTTTCACCAAGTGTCTTCCTAGAGAGAAAAATTTGCTGCCGTACAATCTCGGTGTAAACTGCAGGCCTAAGAAAAATTACTAGGACGTCCAGTAAAATTTCTTCATCGGTCGAGAAAAACTTCTTTATGGGCTAAGTAAAATTTTGAGTCGATGCAACAGTTACCGGGGGTTAAATGCAACTTCGGTGAGAATCGGAAACTTTCGGCTTTCATCGGTGACCAATCGTTTTGATTAGGAAAATGCTGTGCAGAATAATGGGAATTAAAGGAGAACACAGTAGAGAATATAGATCTGGATAGGGATTTTTTAAGGACTTCTCTCAATTTTTCAATTCGCGAAGCGAATTCATGATGCGCATCACTGCGCGTGTTCTTCATTTTTCCGTAAATATCCAATAGATCCGTCTCCTTCGATAACTTTCCGATGGTTCATCATTATTTCTAATTCGCATTAAACAAACAATCCCGTGCCGATTTGAAATAGATGGCGTGATGAGTCAATTCGGTAATTACGGGACCTACTGCGCAGCTCCGTGCGCCGAATTTGAATTTGGCGGTTCGAGTTGACCAATGAGAAATTAATCCTACGCATTTCGAGATATTTCGACTCGGGCGCACTTCTTTTTTGTGTTTCTGTTTTCATAATAAGGACGAGAGACCTACTGCGCAGCTCCATGCGCCGAATTTGAATTTGGCGGTTCGAGTTGACCAATGAGAAATTAATCCTACGGGTTTCGAGATATTTCGACTCGGGCGCACTTCATTTTTCAGTTTCTGTTTTCACAATAAGGACGAGAGACCTACTGCGCAGCTCCATGCGCCGAATTTGAATTTGGCGGTGCGAGTTGACCAATGAGGAATCGGTCGTAGCCATTTCGAGATATTTCGACTCGGGCGCACTTCATTGTTGTGTTTCTGTTTTCATAATAAGGACGAGAGACCTACTGCGCAGCTCCATGCGCCGAATTTGAATTTGGCGGTTCGAGTTGACTAATGAGGAATCAGTCCTACGCATTTCGAGATATTTCGACTCGGGCGACCTTCATTTTTGTGTTTCTACTTTCATAATAAGGATAATAAGGAATAAGGATTACCATATTTTCAGGTGGACTAAACGGTTTTCGATATTCGCGTCAACCGGAAATAGCATATTCAATTAAATTAATTCAATTGGAAATATATTTCATGCAAGGAAAAAATTGAATACAATTAAATTCACACATTGAACATATTGTAAGATAATTAGTTGACTGTCCCATTTTCTTCACCCGTGTGTTGTGTAAAATATCTATAATTCCGAATAAAATAACCGTCTCGATAAATTTACACGTCAGCTCGGTACACCATTCAGTAATCAAATAAAACCACATCTCACCGATTTCAAAGTCCCCAACTTTCACCCTGACAAAGCGATTTTGTGATTTCACTCGCTTCATGTCGTGTGTTCGCAACGTTTCAACCATCAGCTATTTCAATCACGATCTCATGTATCTCCATTTTTTGCAATAATAATATCCAATACAAATAGAGGCTAAACGTTGTACGGAGAAAGGCAAATGGGAAAATGTCGATCGACCTTTCGTTTAATTCGTCTTGGTCTCTTTAAATTGCAACCAATACATCAGCAATATAATTATCATTGATGCATTGATATTAAAAATAATTGGGAAAGGAGAGGGAAGGAGGAGAGGTAACTATTGTAAAACCGAAGAAACGAAACGTCGAAACGTGTCATTAATGTTATTATCCTCGGGCGATTGAGCGTAACAACGTAGTTGTCGACGTGCGCTTTCACCAAATCGTTTTTCTTGTCTCTATCTCACACTTCATTGCGTATTATGTGTACCTTTGCAATTATTTCAATCGTTGGTCACACCAGCATGGGTCACTTCCAAACTCAAGAGGTAAAACTTTATTCGAGCGTAAACGTAATGAGCGGGTATAAACATAAAATCGTGTACTTCGATGTGATATTGCGTTATCGATGCCAGCTTATGTATAACGACCGGACGTCACATTGCGATACGCCAATCTTCTTTGTTGATACCAGTCGGCAAATGTTCTGAAGGGAAATACTTACTTCTCATTCGCATACAATGGAGTCATTCAATCGCTAATTGATACTGAATTGTTGATGGCAATTTTATTAATTTATTCGGAGCTGTTCCATTATGACATGTAATGATCCAACGAAATTTTTCGTCTGTCGTTTTTATTTTTTTACATTTTTTTATGTTATTTTATAAAAATGTGAGGAGACACATTCAACTCAATTATTGTTTCGGTTCCAGGGCAATTTTTCCCCGGACAAAATTTCCCTCAAAAACAAAAATATCATTTTGAAACTAACATTAGGGAACAAGAAAGAAAAAATGATGGTGAAAAGAAAAAAAATCCTCTACTACAAGACATTGTATTGCCAAATCACACAAGAACATGGAAACACAAATGATTATTCTCCATAATAATTGAAATAGATGAATGAACAATCGTCAATTCATACAAACAATAGCAATACAAAATCTCAACATAATGTCTCGTACCAGCGAAACGCAACGCCAAATAATTTTCAAATGAACTGACATGAATCATAATATACAAAACCCAGCAACTTCCAGCACTCCCACTCACAACGTAGGCAACATCGCGAACATATTAATTTTAACCTTCAATTACGCCAAAAAATAACGTCAATACAATAATTAATATGATGTGATATTTGCAATCCTCTTCAAATACCCAATCATATCCTCAGGATCATAAGAATTGATTTCTTTTCTTGGAAGGTTTTTCGGAATATTTTGTCCGAGAAATTATGTCCAGGAAAAAAGTGACCTACTACCTATTATTTCATGATTTAAAAAAGAAGTATTTTCATATATTCGGAAAATTAAATTATACAGTGAAGAGTATAAATTAAGTTGATGGCGCACTCGTTTCATCAAATTAGATTTCCGCTTGAGTCGCCTCCCGAAATAGTATTATTTAATCGCAAGATATTATAAGCGAAAAGCCGTAAAAAGAGTGAAGAGTGTCCATTACGTTCATGCCCGGGTATCAAAATCATCCAGGTTATGGTCCAACATTCGCATCATGGAATTATGACGCAACATCTTTTATGGATGTTGTATACGACGACATAATGGACGGAATGATAATGCCCTCTTCTGCTGTGAAACATCCTAGTGTTTCGTCTTCATCACTTTTATGATAGTGATTATGCTACAACAGAGTGGAAAAGGTGATAGCACTTGTGCATGTAGGTGTTGTCATCAGTGATGTGTGAAGCGCTCCAGTGACCGTGGGAATGAAGGCATGTCCATGAAATGAGTACGCGGGAAAAAAACGACTTGTCGAAGAATCACATCGGAACTGTTTTCATTCTCTCATCTTACACTATTAGGAATGTCTTGCAGT